GGGGGGGGGCAACAGCAGAACCGGGGAGGGGCGCGGATACAGGCGACCAAAGCAGGATGTCGAGACTATCGGAAAACTCGAACGCCCGCGTGTTGAAAACAAAACGAAGGGACCATTTTCCATTTGGACGAGTTTCGTCAAGGGGCATCATTAATTGTTGCTCGACAAGGAAAAACGTACACGAACGTCCACCCAATAATCGGAACACGCCGCCTCCCGGATCGATCCCAAGCAATGTTGGCCTACCTGGAGCACTGCGGACTGCTGGGGCATGGTGTTGCTGGAACCGTCCTCGTTGAACCTGCCGACGCGAGGGCCGAGGATGAAGATCCCCATGAGGGCAGCCATCCCTCCCGTCATCTGAAAAAGAGTAACAGGCCGGCCAAACTTTGCTCGTCATTCGGACAACCAATTAAGCAAGACAAGATCACGAAGGAACCATCAAGATGTTGACTCTGAATTTTCCACGTCATCGTTGACGATGACGCCAATCATCGCCGCTCAGTACTCGGCAGACGAGCTCGCAGAGGTGTTACTGATTCAGCTTGTACACATCGCGTTCAGGGCGCACTAGACAACGCCACCAACCAAGACAAAATCGACGAGACAGAGTAAACGAGTACGTATCTATTGTACTGCCTCGCAGGGCCCCTCCCACAACAAATGGAAAAGACCTTACTGAGGGAGTCCGGGGGGTAGGGACTTGCACACCTTCCCAACAACGGCGACGACCACAACTTGTAGAAGAGGGCAGTGAGAACCTACATGTACGACGCCGGAGCCGGCGAAGTCTGTCACGCCGCAACCGAAGAGGAGGTCGTCGTCGTCAGCAAGTCGGGCGCTGGCCCAGCCGCCATCGGACCAGGCCCAATGAGCCACGATGGGATCTGCAAGAAACAATATGGACAAGAAAAGGGAACCAAAAACAGGTCTAACTGCTGTACCGTACACGCCGAGATGCCGTCGCCCGAAAGCGAGGACCTCCTGCCGGCGCAGGATGCCTTCACCCACCCAACCCAATGCTTATCCGCGCCTGGGTCTGACCGTGGGACGTCATCCAACGGATCCCCTCGAACTCCACAAAGAAGTTGTAGGCGTGGGTTTCCGGAGGCATCGAAAACTGCGCGGGTGCCAGTTTTCTCGCAAGGAAGGTGAGAATTATCCAACCAAATTGAAGCGACGGAGGACGATCTGCACCAAGAAGTAACCGCAGGAAGAAAAAACAAGAAAACTGTTTACGTCGCAACCCAGACGCACGTGATCTGGACCTGAACCCACCCGCATCCCCTTTTGAAGACAGTCCATTCCCTGCCGGGGGAATTGGCTTTCTTCACTCACATATGAAGGACGTGATGAGGAAAGAATGCAGCACGTACGCCCCGAACGTTGCGCGCTCGGCCATGGCCCCGGATACTATTTAGTGGTCGTGTCGAAGGCACGAAAGACAAAAAAGAGGAAACAAGAGGCAAGGTGGTGATACAGAATACGTTCGCTTCAACATCCAGTGTATCGAAGAATGATTGAGTGTACTGTAGGCTGTCGATGCTGCTGGTGTTGCTGCTGCTACTGCTCCTGCCTCTGCTGCTGCTGCCGGATGTTGTACTTGCGTGTTGGCGGTGGTGTTGGTGTTGGTGTCGGTGTCGTATGATGTCGCCATATATTGTTGTCGTTGTTGTTGTTGGTACCGTATTGTTGCACTTGTGACTGCTCTTGTTCGCATGTTCCGTCATGACGAACAGCGACATACACAGCGAGTGCAAGCAGACGGACTGAAGCTGGACACTCTCATGCGTTCGGAAGCGGACAAACGTGCACTTCACGGCAAACCGCAGGTGTTCGAGCTATGGCACAAGGGAGCAATCACGTCGTTCTTGATTTTTGCAAAAACTCGATAAACACCTATCACACGTCGCTAGCTCCGATCCGTGAGGAAATCGAGCTACAGAGGCGTTCGTTCTCGAACTGTCACGCGCCCGCTGTGCGATATCTCGATGCCTTGCTTGGCACCAATTCCAGCAGCTTGCTTAGCGGTATTGCAGCCACATAGTTCACGGTGACCGGCGGGGTTGCGGTGGTGTGCAAGAATCCGACGATGTGGTTGTCTTCCAGCTCGTTCTTGGATAACGTGGCTCGTTCTTGGATAACGTGATTCCCTATTTCGTACCTCAACGTGCTCGGTGCATGGGATATAGTTTGCCGTTTCAGTGAAAGCGTCAAACAGAGGAGAAGATGAACACACTGGAAATTGAATGACCCAGCCACAAGACAGGGAGCCAGAAAGAACGCGACTCCGTTTTCCGTTTGTTTACCGTGCTCAGGCCGACGTTTTCTTCGGCCAATCAGTTGCCGTGGTCGATGTCGGTGCTAGAAACGACACAAACATACACACGCACACACACACACCTTTTTCTGTCTTCAACCGCACTCCGACTGAAGAATTCGATGCAATATTGAAGACACATACGCACGAATTTACTCTTTTATCCTCTGCATGTTTCAGCATTACAAAGCAACCAACCCCCCAAGACTCACCCATCACCGTCGAAGACACACACACGAATTTACTCCTTGTATCCGCAGCATGCTTGAAGCATTACGAAGGAACCAACCCCCCGAGGCTCACCGATCGTCGTCGCAGAGGCCGCGAACGCCCACTGAAAAATCCAATTCGCGTACGACAAGGAGACGAAGTCCCCCGAGGTCGTGCCGAACATGCTCTCGTCCTTGAGAGCGAAGCCGGTGGTGCCAAGAAAGCCTCCGCTGTCCTTCCCGAAGGCTAGCCCGTTGCCAAACAGCCACCACCCGATCGCCCCCATCGCCGAGTCTCCGATATTCTGTTGTTGTTTTTTGGGAGGGGGGTGATGTCTTGAAGAAACTTGGCTACTGCGCGTGCCTCTTGCCGGACAGGGTACCACCTACCTGCATTCCTCCTATGCATACATAGACGCACCGCCTTCGTGAAAGGGCACTTCCAACATTCGTGAACTTTTCTTCGTTTCTTTTCGATGTGCGTGGTGGTAAATATATTCTTCACAAAACAGATACGTTCTTCTTTGCCCCGCCATGCCCTCCCCATCGGGCATTCTTTTGGCCACGATCGGCTTCTAACCGAACAGTGATCGGTTGTGTTCTTGCAATTGCCCCGGAGAGGGGAGGGGGGTGAGTTGGATGGGGGTCACGGAGCGGGTCTTGTTATGGCACCGGTCCTGGCTACGACTGAATACCTAATACTTGAGCAGATGTCAACGTGTTCCGCCGCAGACTTGTGATGATGCCGGGGCAACCGAAGTGCATCATTGTGCGGTCGGTCCCCCATAGGTTCTAATTCAGCTTGGTGGATGAGCAAAACAGATGGGTGTTTTTTTCGTGCCCTTTTCTCGGGTGTTGCGGCGGCATGGCCCTGGCGCGCGCCGGCAGCTCTTGGAAAATACGCATACAATCAAAGGAAGTCTGCCCTTTCGAGGTGATTGCTGTCTTTGGAAACAGCTGCGACAGCTGCACGCACTACACGCGTTGTGTGCCACAGCCTCTTAGGCAACACCCCCTCCTCTTTCAAAGCCAAAAGGAACCACCCATGAGAAAATGCTGCACGGACCTTGATGAGGATGTTCTTGGTGTTCTTGATGCTGACCGAGCCTGCCTCCAACATCGCGAAGCCAGCCTGCGGACGACCGTTCCACCAGCACGCGAACGACAGCAGCGTGATGAGCGACAGCATGAAGAGGTACAGAGCCGGGAAAAAACCGGCGCAGATCAAGAAAAAAACCAGAACTCATCGAATACCCAACCTCACGCCCGGAGTTGGGGATTTTTCGCCGAGAACTTGGCACCCCGGTGCGATCGCTCGATAACCTATGTACCGTATATGACACAAGATAACACACCCCCTTGGCCGATTTTCAAAGCTCGATTTCTCAACAGCAGGAAGAGTCACAGCACCGAAAACGGCGGCGTTGGAACCGTCTCGTCGAGAGCTGTTCGAAAACGTATTGTTTCATGTATGCATCCTCTTCGTCGTGGAGTAATCGAGCTTTGAAAATCGGTCCAGGGGGTGTGTTATCTTGTGTCATATACGGTATGCGTACGGGGGAATTGTGGACGATTTCATGTGTACCTCTTACCTATTTTCCACACCCGCGTGCTACGTCTCCGGATGGCGAGATTACTCGAAAATGGCGGTGGGTGTGGGGGTTACTGCCTGTAGCTGCTCGTCAATCTTGAAACGTGAAAAAAATCCCTGCTGTACTTGCACCGTTTGCGTTTGGAGAATTTCTAGAAACGAAAACACTACAGCTGCTGTTGTACAGCAGTACTGCTGTAGCGCATCCTACTAAATCCCCGACACGTCTAGAGGAACATGTAATCTCACCTGCATGAAGAAGACCATCGAAGCCCCAAGCAGAACCCAGAGGGAATCCACCGCGACGGCTACGTCCGCCACAGATGTTCTGAAACGTACCACAACAGAAGACGTCAAAGATATCATGATATGTCACTCCGTTGGTCTCGAGCGAGCGAGATTGCGAGGGAGAGACAGAGCTATAAAAGAAGGCTGGAGAGGAGATGCCGACCACAAATCCCATAAATGTTCTCAATTATTTTTAGTGTCCTATGTATTTAGGAAACATAAAAAAAAAAAACACACACAGAAAGACCTCATGCGAGATACTTGTTGGTCGTTTACGGCCCATCCACCCCCTTCGAAGCAACGTGCGCTTGCAACTCCCCCCCCAAGAAAGACGCCACATCGTTGCTGGCCCAAGCCACTGGGTTGTCACTGGTCGCGAATCGGCAGCAAAATCCCGTATCGACCAAAGTTCGTTCAACATCCCCCCCCTCCGCCGTCATGTACACGTACGTACTCGCCCAGGGGTCACACCATCGCCCTTCTCGCCACGTTCCCGCCAGCATGAAATTCTTACACCCGAAACACCCATCATCAATGAATGGTACAAGGAGCGGAGCAGTCGGAGAGAAACTGTGGCATGTTATCTATGCACATCTCGCTACCGCTTAGTTTGTCTCACAGCCAGCTGGCCTGGATATCATCTATCTACTGTACGTTGTAAAAGGTAGGAAAAAATTAATTGAACAAGGAATGTTGTGACACATGTCGCAACACGTCGTGTGGACTGCTGTCGACAAAACAACATTCTTTTCTGCCGCGTGTTGTGTTGCCGCTCGTGTGTTATGGGAAATTCTTCTCGTCGATAGCACACGTTGTACGTAGAAGGCTTTCGCTATTTCTTCCGTTGCTATCATCGCTGCCGGCATGCCGCAACATACTGCACTCGGCACGGGCCTTCGTCGCTTATGTATCTGACCGATGTTTCCGGTTAAAAAGCAGTTAAAAGACCTAATATGCGTCCCGCCCTCTAACGGTCCGTTCCGTCCAGGAGGGGGACGGGTGAACTCTAAACAGCGCATGTCTCATGTGCACTCACTCTGGCGTATCCATCGTGGCCTCCCGAAGGTAACAGTTACGTCTTCTTCCTTCCGGTGTCTGCCCCCACCTGTCGCGCTCTTGGCTTTCCAAGGAGGGCGCTGGAGAGATGTGTGAACGGTTGAACGTTTTGAACAAGTGGAGATGTATGTATTTGCACGCGTAGAAAGACATCACGCTGAAACTCCTCGGCCCGCGCTCCCGTGGTACAAAAAAATGTTCCGTATGGGAGATGTCGGAGATCGCGTAATCGCGCAAACCGCGCAACAGCGCCGCCGGTTGGTTGCGGAGACAACACGGGGGTGCTGCAAGGAGAGCATTAGGCCGGAGGTCTACACCGAGATATAAGATGTGAGAGGAGTCCCGAGGGTGCCATCTCAAGTTTCACGTCACAAACTGCCCATTGCCTATTGAACTCCTCCATAGTAGCAGGTAGGTGCTGCTGTTAGGTTTAAGTTTTCATCCAGCCGCCGCACTTGGCCGTTGGTCCTTTTCACCACAGGGGTCTGTGTGCCTGTTCTCTCTTCTGGTACTCGCTGGTCTCTGGCTTCAGCAACTAGAAGCCATTGTTGCTCCCGGCTGGCCGTTACTACGTGGATAGGATTGCCATGAGAGGTAGTAAAGCCAGCAGCCAGCAGCCGCATGGAGAGCTCGAAAGCTCGCAACGAACAAAGCATGAGCCAAAAAGTGCGCGAAATGCCATACGGTTGCGTGAGATATCACCCCCCCCTTTTGAACCGATTTTCAAAGGTCGAATGCTCCGCCGCAACGAGGATACCAAAGCCAAATGGCGCATTTCGGAACGTTCTCGACAACGATGGTGCCAACGCCGCCATTTTCGGCACCGTCGGTGTTTGTGCTGCGGAGTACCGGCCTTTGAAAACTGGTCCAGGGGGTGTGGTATCTTACATCATGCAGCCTACGGTACGCTGAGAGAGAGAGATGTTTGGAACTGACCTACCTACCTGGCTGTTGTGGAGTTAGGAAGAATGGTGGAATGCTCCTGCTACTTTTTCGGTTCTGTGCAGTCCTATCCCCAACGGCCTTGTTGTTGTCGTTGTTCCGAAAAGTAACTGTTGGCCATGAGCCAAAGCACGGGACTGCTTTGCTGCATGTATGATACGTACCGTGCCTGGAACTGGAACACACGAGATACGTACCAGTTCCATCGGTGGCAGAGGCGATATCAGACAGGGTACAGCGGTGGTATCAAGTTGCATGGCAGCCCCCATTCCTTCGCCTGGGTGCGGCTATGTGAGATCGCAAGAAACGACCAACCAGGCTATCGCTGTCGGTAACTGCTGTAATTTGTTTTTAGGCCGGGTCGGCGGGGCCTTCGTTGTTGCACCTGTACGGTACACGTGCATAGCGTACCAGAGCCACGTGTCGTTGAGATTTCGCTTCAGGGGAGGACCTGCTGAACCTAGAAACGAGGACATGCGCCGCAGAGAAACTCCTCGATGGGAGACCCAGTCGGAGCATATCTAGGGCGAATTGTTGCAACCACGCGGAACAACGAAGCTCACGACAAGACTGCTGCGCCACCACACATGTAGTATCATTGTCGCAACACAGCGGGAGGGGTGATCGGTCAACAGACGCATGCGGTTCCCCCTCGCGAGCCCGGCTGCGCCGCATCCGTGCCACGTACAAACATCGGGTTGCTACGCTACTGCCGTAGACGATTGGAGGTTAAACTGCTACAGGAACAAGGCGCCGACCCGCCCACACAACACACACAAACCCTTACGCGCGTGACCGCCACCAGACATCCACCGGGGTGTGCTGGACGACTCCAAGAAGAAATACCGTCGCACAGGGAGAATGTCGAGAGGTTGCGGGGTGGTGTGCGGGGTGGTGGTGGTCGAAGAGCGGGACGCGCGGGGGTCTTCGTTGGGCCGCAGCCGCCGGACGGGGACGCTCGTACACGCTACGCCACGCGGAACCGGCGGCGGCGGCGGCAGTGTAGCGGTTGATTTGGTGGGAGACGCGGGTACCGAGACATACATGTTTCAGAGGGGGAGATGCAAGCTGTTTCGGTCCTTCGTCCACCATGGGAAGCTCACCGTGTGCACGGCGGGCATGAGGCATCAGGTGCGCGTGTATCTGTGCCGGCCGAAAGAGGGGCACGCAGATGGTGACGTCCCGTTCGATCGCGTCCACGACGGGTGTGTTTTTGTCTGTTGCGTGTTGCTGTTGCTGCTGCTACTGCTTGAGTCTTGTTGCTCTGGCTGTCAATGCTGTCATTACTGCCTCGTTGGAGGCGATAGTGGGGATGACCAGCCCTGTTGGGGACGCCGTTTCGGCGGCCTTCTATCGACAAAGGAAAAAGCGGGGGGCAAGGGCTAGCAATATTTGTGTGTACGTCCACGAAGAGACGCTTCTCCAAAGGCAGCGTAGATCGACTGGTTGGTGCTGCGGTTTGCACCCAGTGACTGCGGCATTCTCGGTCTTTATTCGTAGAACAGGTCTCACACAGCACCGGACTCGCACGCTTCCAAGCCGTAACCTTCTGCTAATGGTTTCAACTTCTCTTCCCGTCCATCACTACCGCTCCTGCTGCTGCTGCTGCTGCCGCCGCTGTTGCTGCCGTCCGTGCCGCTTGTGCTGTGTCTACACGCGTACCAACGCTCCCCCCGCGACGTAAATGTATCAAAAAATCGAGCAGATCATGTTAAGCGAGGCAGACCCGGTCCAGCTTGGCGAGCTTTGCGACACCCTCGTGGGAGAGAACAGCAGCAGTCACACAAGCAACACCACCACCAACAGCCGCAGGAGCCCCGGTTCCTCAACAGCAAGCACCACGGCTGTCCGCGCGCGAGCCCAGTCGCAGCCCCGATCCCACCGCGCGCCCGGCGCCACCGGCGGATGCACCAGGCGGAGACCACCGACAGCGGTGGTTCCGGGGAGGGGGGGTACATCCGCGGGGCCCCTCGCCCCTCGCAGCGTCAACGCTAATGTGCGCAGTCCGACCGGGCAGGAAAGAGGCGGGGATAGCGTCCACCAGAGGGGGGACAAGAAGGGGCGGAGGATGAGGCTCCCGGCGGACAGGCCGCCGGAGGCGGCGGAAGAGGGGGGGGTGGCACGAAAGAGCACGAGGAAGGCGAGCCCAAAGAAGAGCGTGGAGGAAAGGGGGCCGCCGAGAGAGGTCGCCCTGTCGGAGGACCAGCAGAGAGCCGTGGACCTCGTTGTCGGCGGCAGGAGCGTCTTTTTCACCGGTGAGTGAGACACGGCAAGCAGAGAGACAAGAGCTTTGCGGGGGGGGGTGGGGGGGGGGGAGGGAGGGGGGCGGGGTACTCGGTTGTCGATTGAAGTTGCCGTTCCACCATTGGTCACGCATCACATTTCTGACGAAGAACAGCAGTTCGTATCCTCGATGAAGATAGAGAGACAGGTGACTCCTCGGGTGTCTTTTGAGAAAATCTGGGGTCTGCCTCACCCAACGGCCTGTAATCTGTCTCATCCGGGGTGGAGGACGCGGTGCAAAACAGCTGCTGTGCATACGCCGTGTGTGTGTGTGTGTGCTTCGTTCCATGTGTTATGGCACCAGCCAGCACCTTTCGGGGGTTATGCTTGGCGTGTCAGCCCGGGGCACACAGAAAGGAGGAAAAATGGGAACCTTTGTGGTAGAGAAGGGTCAACAGGCTTTGTCAGCGGCCCCAAGTTGTGCCTTTTCCTGTGTAGCGGGTGTTTCCCCCAAGTTTTTTTTTTAACCGCA